TGTCAGACATTCAGTGGAGGAGAGGTTCACTTGGATAGGATCTTGGTCCTATCCAAGTGAACCTCCACACCCAGATTGGAAGCATAAGTTAACAATGCAGTGGAACACTGACCCCTAGAAATGTCTGTTTTGTGTTCTTTTATGCAGAAAGCAATCTGGCTGCCAGTAGTTCCAATGTACTCCAATTCATTTCCAGTTTGATAGTCAGTCAAGGAGATGAAGTATACACCCAGAAAATGTCGCCAAACTGGTGGACCAAAGACCTGCCAGTTTGACGAAAATTACAATCTTGCCTTTTTTAAAAAATATCTAATATTTTGTAACTTTTTGCACAATACATCACACTTATTAACTACAAAGACCAGTAAGTTAGGAGGAGTTTAGGTGGCAGTTCAAGACCAGGATACACTTCTCTGAACGGTTAACTCTGTCATCATATTCCATAAAAACTTTGATATTTGATACGAAGCAATTTGCATAGGAAATAATTCACAAATTTTCCATTAGAAAAAGCAAAATATTTTCATGTTTGATCTTATCTTCACATAATTCAATTAATGTGTTGTTGATTGCCTTTTTTTTAATAGTAACTACATTCTGCTTTCCAATAGGTGCACTGTATATTAGAAAATTTTTTTATTTGAACAGAACCTAAGTGTAAATTGCCAGCCAATATATTGATAATGATTGGCTTTCTCTTGTCAACAGTCTCATCTGACATTAGCAAATATTTTTTAATCTTGCCAAATTTCATATCTTACAAATAATTAAAATATTTTGTTTTATGTCACATCATTGGATTTGCTGGAGTTTTATGCATTCACTTCTCACAATATTCAATCCATTTGGGATGATCCATCTTGCTTAGAACTATGTCTAATGTGACAAATATGTCCAGCATGTCTTTATAAAATTCATTGCCATCAAATGGACTTTTTTCTTCTAGATCATTTTGCTATCATAGATTCACACTTTTCTTTCTTTTCTTGGTACTGTTTTTGTTTTCACATGTTGTTGAAGTTGCATTTTCACTGTGACTGTAACATTATCTCTGCAAACATCATACCACAGTGTATTTGACTTCAATGGAACTAACTTAATTTCACCAGAATATAAACTTAAGCAGCTCCAAAGAATTTTGTTTTTCCTGCCATGTTTACTCTTTTTAGTAATGTATATTCTTTTTCAGTAAAAATTTATTCTTCCGAGGCCAAGTTATCAACTAAAATTTTAAAATTATGATAGATTCAAGCCTAGTAATACTAAAAGTAAAGCAAACAGTAACAACTATAATCACTAAATGCAAAATTTAAGTGCTAAAGTATCAAAAATGCAGTAAATCTAGCACAAAAATCACTTTGTTGACAACTACTATCCAATTGAAAGGCACTAATGATATATTCAAAACTTTATACTATAATATTCAAATTATTTGCCTTTTTATATTTTATAAAAGAAATACTGTGTTTGATTTTCACAAAAAATTCATATTATACATTACATGTCATAAATCAAATTTGTATTGTGTGTTCCAAGAATTTGCAAACAGTTCTTGAACATATTCAATGGTATCTGATTGAATATATTTTTAAGCCTTACTAATATACAATACTAGCTACATAATTTTAAATTATTATTGAAAATAAATATTTTCAGTATTTTAATAATTATGAATTATAACTTCATTTACAGTAGATTACAGAAGTTTATTTTAATTATTTATATATACTTATTAGTCATGAACTTATATAAGATATAATTTAAACTTAAAAGATTATTTAAATATTAAAATAAAATGGCTTATATATTCTACCTTTATAATCCTAGCTGCCTGGACAATAAATAATGCATTTATTTATTACACAATAACTTAATTGTAAGTCTAAAATATATTAACTCTTATTAAGATAAACAGATATGTTCATCATATTCCATAATATAAAATAATAAATATAAAAATACAATTAAAAAATCAAAATTATAAAGACCTCTTACATGTATTTTTATGCTCAAAGTTTTTAATTTTATATAATCTTGTTCTAAGATACTATTCAAATCATATATAACATTTTTTTTTCATAATGTATTTGAGTAAAAATTTCAAAATAAATTGATTAACTAACTATATATAATTTTTTAAAAATAAAGAATAAGAAATGTTTTATACAATTTTACTAATTTAGTATTTGATTTTTATCAATATATTTATCAAGTAACATTAAACTCAAGTAATTTATAATTTTAAATGACAATTGACAATCAGTAATAAGAATATTTAAATACATTTTAATTATATAAAATATTTCTAAGCTAAATCAGATTGATTTTATTTATTTCAAACATTAACAAGAACATAATGAAGCAAAAAATAAAATTTAATTTATTTATTCATATATTTTAAAAGTACAGATTGTGTTCATATATCTTGACCAGGCAATGCACAGTACTCAGTTGGGCCTCTGAAATTTCATAAAGTTCAAGAGTCTTTTTCAATAATGCAAAGGGAACTTGTCACGGATTTGTCAAACAATCATTCCCTTTTCTAAGTAAACAAATTTGTCCCTGCTACTGAGCATTCTTATAGCCCAGTCAAGATTTGCAAAAAAAAAAAAACTGTAAAACAATTTATCAAAGATAAGAATATGCTTTTCATCTCTTTAGCAATTATTTTATGATTATATAAATATTTAAAAATTTTACAATTTATATTAATATTACATAACTTATATAAAAATTTGAGTAAAAATTTACTATAATGTAAGCTTAATATAGGCTATATAACGTACAGCAGTGAAAGATCCGAGATATACATTCTGTTTTGATACATTATTTGTGCTTCTAAAATATATGAATAAATAGACTAAACTTTGTTCCTTTATTTATTATGTGTAATGATTCAATTTAGAGAAAAAAACAATCAATTGATTTAATCTGAACATTCTAAATAATTAACAAAGCTATCAGCTTGTCTCATAACTTTACAACTTCAAGACAGGGACGACAATATTATATATACCAAACAAAACCCATGGGTATCAGCTTATCTCTTATTACTGCTACTATATTATAATCATCTAAATACATTATTATATTATAAACTACATTTTCTGTAAAATTGTTGAATATAGCATTATGCTTTGAAATTTGTCAACAGTGATGAAAATACATAAATACAAGTACATGTTTTCATAAATAATAATATCAAAAAGCTATAAATTCTTTTTATTTTTGTTTAATCAGTTAAATGAAATGTAATTCATTCACTTAAATGTTTTGTCAACAAAGTTGACACATTATTATGTAATTTACTACAAAGAAATAAGCTTACAATATTGTATTACATTATTATTACAATATGTAATAATTTAAGAAAAACAAATAATTAATCTTGATAATGTTTTGATGTTTAACTATTTATTTAATATTAAACTACAAAATATTATAAATGAACAATCTCAAAGTTTAAATTCATAACATATTTCCATTAAGTTAAAGAATTTATAATGTAATCTATACTAATATTATAAAGAGGTAATGTTTATATGTAAGTTTGTTTGCAGCAGGTAATCTCCGAAACTACTCATCCGATTTCAAAAATTCTTTCACCAATATTTAGAATGGAACTTCAGGGTGGACATAGGCTGTATATTATTCCGTTAAACATTCATATAAATTAAATGATATCATCTAGGGTTAAGGCTTTTATGTCCAACAGATGG